CCTACACAGCGTACAGCAGCGCACATGCATTTTAGCGCGCGTCCTGGTGTGAATGAGCCTTAAAGCGCACTTATTGCTTTACCCTGCATGGGTTTGTTTGTAAAGAACACTAAAGACCCTCATTGATCTAACATCAATTCCTAAGGCGGGGCTAAAGCTGGCCATACACTAGTAGCTTTATGAACAAACATCTGTACAAAAATTATCATCAGTATATTTAATGACTTGAAGAATGACAAAAAAGTACTTAAAGCAAAAAAACTTGCTTTTACTGCTGATTTTTGAGTGGACGGACTTTCCTGAATGAAAACCACATTCACTGGTATAAATGTTTTTCTTCATGAATACTTTTCCATCCTTTGAATTTTCTCATTGCTGTGTTCAAAAATGAGTGTCAATTTGACCCTGGCTAACCATTTGGAGATTGAATGAATATTCTAAAAATGAACATTTTCTAATGAAATTCTACTAGTGTATGGCCAGCCTAAGTGCTGATTGTATCTTACACAAGTGAGTGTATACAAAAAAAAAAAAACAGGAAAATAAAAAAAAAAATTAAAAGCGACAGTAACAAATAATGCATAAATATGCAAAAAAAAGTATCAAACAGAAAACACAAAATGAAACAAAACTATTCTAAATTCACTTCATCACCCTGAAAAAGAGGCAGGCTAAAGATAACAAAGAGTAGAATTTTTTTTCAAACTCATCAGCTTTAATTTTTAAATTTATTTTTAAACTAATTTTAACCTAATGTTCCATTTGAAACTACTTTTTTCCACCAATCAACTCAATTTGCAACATTTTGTAATTTGTGATATTGGCAATAAAATTAAAAAAGAGGCAGATGCAGTGGACCTCATGGTCTATTTCTGCCTTCACTCGTATATGTTTCTATGCCCTCTATATGATTTGTTGGTAAATACAATTCAAAATCATTCCACTCATCCCTACTGTCAGCTGGTTTAAACATTTAAAAGTCCCACATTAAGCTGGCCATTGATGGATCGAAATTTAGTTGGTTCAGCAGGCAGTGGCCAAATTTTTCAATCCATTTATTGCATTTCTCACTCAAAAGAAGTTGATATAATGTGCTGATTGAATGAACACTGTCCACAGTTTTCATGCAATCAGCACCTGCAGCCAATTAGCTGAAGCGCTGATCAGTGTATTCTGACAACGGAGGAGTCCCCACTGTCAGAATATAATAGTGCATTGGGGAGGATTCCTCTAACCACCTCGCTTGGGTGAAAGGGGAAATTGATTAGTTGTTTTTTTTTTTTCAATCAGCCTACTGTTTAATGGTAAAAAAAAAATCTATCTATGGAAAGCCTAAAGCTGGCCATACACGGGTCGAATTCTGAAAGAATTTTCTTTCGAAAATCTTTTCTAATTTTCGTTCGCATTTCGCACCATTAGTGGGTCACAGAAACAGCCGATTTTTCGCATGACCATCGAATTTGAGTGATCGGGCATGTTGGAAATTTTTTTAAAAACGAACGAATTTTGAATCAATGTTGGGAGAATCTTGCAAAAAATAAATAAGCTGTGACCTGGAAAGAAAGGAAAATTTCTTGGCCACGAAAATTTTCTGTAGCAACATGAGGAGAAATTGAAGGCTTGGTTGGTTGAATTCCAAAATTAATGGTGGCACCATCGCATTAGAAAACGCACAAATTTTGGATTTTCTAAAAAAAAATTTGTTCGGAATTTGACCCATGTATGGCCTGTATTAGAGCAGACTCCCACAAGAAGATTTAGTTAGCCACAAGATCTGTGTACCTCTGTGAAACTAGTTTCATGTTGATATTAACCCCTTGACGGCGAGCGCACGCAAATATGCGGCCTCTTGGCGTCTGGGCCTTGACCCCGAGCAGCTGCATAATTGCGTGCCATTAGAAAATACATATGTGCTGAGAGCGCACGCCGTACGCGCTCCCAGCACATATGTCCGTGACTCACAGAAAGGTCCCGATCTCCCCTTGCAATTGGGACCTTTACCAATCATGTGACTACCGTGGCGGCAAATCACGGCAGTCACATGACCCTAAAACCACGCCTGCCTCCTGGCTTCTGAAACTCTTAAAAGGGCCGGGAGGTGGTTAAAGAAGTCAATTCCAGGACTGTGATCTCCCATGAGAGCACCTCCATGGCCAATAAGATCTGGTGGCAGAGCTTACCCTGAATTTGGGCTCTTCTTAAAAAGAGGCTCACAGAGGTTTTTTTTGGCCAATAAAGGCAACTAATGCGGCTGCTTAAAGTGTCTGATCTTTGGTTCTTTAAACATTTAAAAGGGCTGGAAGATTCACTTCAAATTGCCGAAAGCTGCTTTGGAGCTTTAATAAATATTCTGATCTTAGTGGTACAGTTGAAGGTCTTAGATACCTCAATTTGGTTCATAGCCCCCAGGGACCTCATTCTGACCCTGATTCCTGAATACTTGTATCTTCCTACTTTATTACCCAGATTGAATCGTCATCATGATGTGTTTATTAGCTATGTCTACATGTTATTAATAGTTCTTTTATATACGCCAACTTGTGTTTCAGGTTTATTGGCCCTTGAAAGACACGCAGAGCACAAAATGATTGCAGTTTGTGTTTTTTACAGAGCCTTTAAATGCATTTATGTTGCAAGCCAGGATATAGTGTGGTACAGGAAATGAATGCGCTCTGGCTACAGCTCAAATTTCATCTTAATTTTCTTGTCTTTTTGGGAAACAAAGAAAACTGAACCTTTTTGTTGTAGAAAAATGTGGCATTCCTTGAGCCAGGTCCACTGCCCTCTACTGGTAGAAATAGAACATACTTCTGTGCTGATGCTTTCAGTAAACAAGACTTTATGATATAGCTATGTAAATGTCCTTTGCCTTTAAAAAAAAATAAAGAGGGATACTATTGGTGTCAGGAAAAACACACACATTACATGTACAGTTGCCATGATCAGCAAACAATTCTACAAAAAACACAAATTATATAGATAAGGCATTGTCTATTATGTATATAGAGTGATTACATTTGACAAACTGCTGACTGACGTCTGTAAGGATTGTCATAAAGTTACCTATCCAGGTTACAAAAAGACAGATCCATAAAGTTACATCCTCAGAACACAGATGATTCAGAGAAAGGAAAAAAAAATGATTTTAAAGTATTTGTATTAGTGGTAAAAAATCCCTCCTTAGGAAATCAGCTAATGCCTGAATCAACATATCACAATGCTATTTTGTCATAAATATTAGTAGCTGTTTACATCTTGTGCTTTTACAATCATGTCCAGTACTTTTTCTAAGTCAGATAGAACTAACTCCTGTGGAGAATTCCACACTTTCATGGCTTTTACAGTAAAGAACCCTTTCTGCACGAGTAGGTTAAAGTGTAGTTCTTCTAGTCATAAACAGTCCCATCATGTCTTTTGCAGGAGCCAAAAAGTAAACAACTTATTAGTGAATTTGCCGTGTGGAGCAATTATCTCTTTATATAAGGTGATCATATAAAAATAAGCAGCAATGATTTACTGAGTAGACTCAAACATAAACTAAGGAGATAGTTTGATAGGTAAATAATATATTACTTGATAAACGTCTATACCTGAGGTCCACTTCAAAGTGCATATAAACATATGATCAAAAAAATGTTACATATTGTAGCAGACCAGTCCTTAGATTTTGTGGATGTATTAGTTTTTTATTTTCACTTTTTTTCCTTTTATTATAACCACTTGCCCTCCTGAAGATTTACCCCCCTTCCTGACCGGGCCATTTTTTGCTTTACGGCTCTGCATTACTTTAACTGACAATTGCGTGGTCATGCAACACTGCACCCAAATGAAAATTTACGTCCTTTTTTCCTCACAAATTGAGCTTTCATTTGGGGGTATTTGATCACCTGTGCAGTGTTTTTTTTTTTTGCTCTATTAAAAAAAAGACAATTTTGCGAAAAAAAACCCAATATTTTTGACGTTTTGCTATTAAACATGTCAAGTAAAAAAATTTAAAAAATCAAATTTCCTCATAAACTTAGATCAAAATGTATTCTGCTACATGTCTTGCTAAAAAAAAATCCCAATACTTGTAAATTAATTGGTTTACGTGAGAGTTATAGCATCTAAAAATGGCGGTATAGATACTGGAATTTTTTTTTTCATATTAATGGTGGCAATCAGTGACTTATAGCTGGACTGCGGCGGGCATTCTGACACTGAGGGGAACTGACTTGGTGTCACTGACATCCCCAGTGACACCAATACAATGATCATTGCTAAAAAAAAAAAAAAAAAGCACTGACACTGTACTAATGGCACTGGGCAGGAAAGGGTTAACATTAGGGGCAATCAAAAGGTTAACTGTGTGCTGGGAGTGTTTTACTGGGGGAGAGGGGGGGGGTGTTGGTGCTTCACTGTAAGGACAGCCATCCAGAGCAGTCTGCCTGAGCCGACAGGGAGGAGGACTGTTAGTAAACAAAGCAGCCCTCCTCCCTGTTGCACCCCTACCCGGAAATGCAAAATCACATATATATATATATATATATATATATATATATATATATATGAGTCCATAGAGATAACAAGGAAGAATACTAACTGATAAGAGTACAGCACAGGCAGACAGCCCAGGAAGCTATTAGCTCAAAGGTTTTCTGGCAAAATATAGGAATTTTTTGTGTTTATCGAACTGATATAACAAAAACCTTCCAACTGTATATTAACCAGACCAAACAGGATAGAAAAAAAAGTTCATTGTTAGGGTTTACAAACACTTTAATTTTCTTTGGTGCTTTACACCAGGTGCAGCCTCGACATAGTCAGAGGCAGCTTCTTTATATATTATGATACTTATCAATACTGAAAAAAAAAAAAAAGAAAAAAAAACTGTTACTTGTGTGGTCCTAATACAAAGTCTCCAAGATTTTGACCCTAATTGATGGTGGTGCTGCGGTGAACTCTATAATGTACTATTGTGGTGGGAAGAATGGCTCTGTGGTCAGCCTCTGCACTCTATAATGCAGTTCATATTTTTTGTTCTAGGTGAGAGCTCTATTTCTGGTTGTGCAAAAAGTGCGCGGATTAAGAAGAAGCAGAGGAGGAACAGGACTACCTTTAACAGTAGCCAGCTTCAGGCCTTGGAGAGAGTGTTTGAAAGAACCCACTACCCGGACGCTTTTGTAAGAGAAGATTTGGCAAGAAGGGTTAACCTGAGTGAAGCCAGAGTACAGGTAAGACTTTCACATCTTTAAAAAGTAATAAACATTAAATAATGTAAGAATCTCCCATCTCAATTAATATTTATTATGTCCCCCTTGCTATTGTACAACGCTGAGCAAACCCTTTGGCGCTATATAAATACTGTATAATAATAATAATATTACTTTATTAAACCGAGCCTAGAGAGGGACTTCTATAAATATAAATCTTGTCCCTGTTGGGGTGGTCCTTCTCTTATTCACAGCGGTTGTTTCATTTGAAAATCCTCACTGCTCTTAAAAATTGGGATGATTGTCAGTGACCCCTCTACCTCACAACCAGCACCCTTGATGACATTGTACCTGATGACCGTATGAAACGGCCAGCACCCTTGATGACATTGTACCTGATGACCGTATGAAATGGCCAGCACCCTTGATGACATTGTACCTGATGACCGTATGAAATGGCCAGCACCCTTGATGACATTGTACCTGATGTCTCTATGAAACAGCCAGCACCCTAGATGACATTGTACCTGATGACCGTATGAAACGGCCAGCACCCTTGATGACATTGTACCTGATGACCGTATGAAACGGCCAGCACCCTTGATGACATTGTACCTGATGACCGATGAAATGGCCAGCACCCTTGATGACATTGTACCTGATGACCGTATGAAACGGCCAGCACCCTTGATGACATTGTACCTGATGACCGTATGAAACGGCCAGTACCCTTGATGACATTGTACCTGATGACCCTATGAAATGGCCAGCACCCTTGATGACATTGTACCTGATGACCGTATGAAATGGCCAGCACCCTTGATGACATTGTACCTGATGACCGTATGAAACGGCCAGCACCCTAGATGACATTGTACCTGATGACCGTATGAAACGGCCAGTACCCTTGATGACATTGTACCTGATGACCGTAATGAAATGGCCAGCACCCTTGATGACATTGTACCTGTACCTGAAATGACCCTAGTATGATGACCGTATGAAATGGCCAGCACCCTAGATGACATTGTACCTGATGACCGTATGAAATGGCCAGCACCCTAGATGACATTGTACCTGATGACCGTATGAAATGGCCAGCACCCTAGATGACATTGTACCTGATGACCCTATGAAACCAGCACCCTTGATGACATTGGCCTGATGACCCTATGAAACGGCCAGCACCCTTGTACTTGATGACATTGTACCTGATGACCGTATGAAACGGCCAGTACCCTTGATGACATTGTACCTGATGACCTATGAAATGGCCAGCACCCTTGATGACATTGTACCTGATGACCGTATGAAATGGCCAGCACCCTTGATGACATTGTACCTGATGACCGTATGAAACGGCCAGCACCCTAGATGACATTGTACCTGATGACCGTATGAAACGGCCAGTACCCTTGATGACATTGTACCTGATGACCGTATGAAATGGCCAGCACCCTTGATGACATTGTACCTGATGACCATATGAAATGGCCAGCACCCTAGATGACATTGTACCTGATGACCGTATGAAATGGCCAGCACCCTAGATGACATTGTACCTGATGACCGTATGAAATGGCCAGCACCCTAGATGACATTGTACCTGATGACCGTATGAAATGGCCAGCACCCTAGATGACATTGTACCTGATGACCCTATGAAACTGCCAGCACCCTTGATGACATTGTACTGATGACCCTATGAAATGGCCAGCACCCTTGATGACATTGTACTTGATAACCCTATGAAATGGCTGCAAGGGGACTTATAGGGGTTAAGTATGATAAACACAGATCAATGAGAACTGGATTGACACTTCAGGTCCATATTTTATATTTTGTTTTGGGTCTTCGTTGCCCTCCAAGCCCTTTTCTGAGATTCACCACCAGTCTTGTTTTGGGCTAAATCATGCTAATGTACAGAATCCCATATCATCCAATTAGAATTCAGCATTACCTCTCTGGAGCTTGAAATTAAAAGTCAGGATGATGTTGGGGTTGTTTTACTGTGCTTTGCTCTATACTTTAAATCATTACATTTTCCAAACCTCACTTTGTAAATAGATTTTTTTGTAGTGTTACTGTGCACAGTAGCATCTAGTTCAGAGGTCCCCAGCCTTTGACTCATGTGCCCATCACCTCAAGAGAGGTTACTGGGATGCATATCAGAGGTAGCTTGTGACTTTTGAGCCATTACGTGAATATTGTTTCTCAAAGTGTAGTCTTACACTCTACATAGGAAAAGATCTTAAAAAAAAACACCCTGTAACAGTTTGTTGTCCTTTTTGTAGGTCTGGTTTCAGAACAGGAGAGCCAAGTTCAGAAGGAATGAGCGAGCCATGCTGGCCAGCCGATCGTCTTCCCTGCTAAAATCGTACAGCCAAGACCCCCTTGTAGAGCAGCAGATCAGCCCTCGACCAACCAGTCTGGCCCCGGAATTTCTGTCCTGGAATTCTAACAGCTACAGGTGACATAACATTGTATTTACTGGTTCATGTCATAAAATCAAAGAGCAAAGTGTAAAACCCATAGAAACCAACCAGATGCCACTGTACTTGGCCATAATCTAGGTTCCAATCAGTTGCTGTACGGCTTTACTCCTTGCACTGATCCTTGCACGGATTATGGTTATAATACTGTTTTGCAATCAAAGTATGATCTGGATTGCGTTTTAAAATAAGATGAAATAAAATAAATTAACTCAATTTATTGCCCCACCAGCAACCAACCAGATTCAAGCATTTTCTCCAGTTTTCATGTGCCAGTGCACTTTATGTTATATACAATAGGACTTGAATAGACAGTTCTTATTCCAAACTTTGCTGGTCACAAACATTACAATCTTATTGTAGATTTTCTTTATACTCTCCTTTTAAATTGGTCAAAAAACAAGTTTTTGGTATATCTGAAAGAGATTGGTTAATCAGACAGACTTATAGCAATAAGCCCCAGTAGGTTAATTTAGACAAAACTGGAGGAAAGTAAAGTGTGTTGTCTTCAATAGTAAAACATTGCAGGAAATCAGTTTGTTTCTTTGTTCCTGTTTTTAAACTACCTATAAAAGTAGCAGAAGTTTTATCATGCCACTCTGGCTTCTAAAGACAAAGTTCATCTTTCATTCTTTAGGAACCAAGAGTTATTATTTCTTAACTCTTACGAGCAGTATTCAGTGGCAACCAACTGGAATTCACTCTGATAAAGTCAGGTCAGTACAAGATGGGTAAAGTAGGCCAGCCAAGGTTATAACCTCTGTCAAGTCTTTTTTCCCGGGAGGGATACAGCTGGCAATAGTCACCTTCTTACCAACATCCTCTGGACATAAAGTTGGGGACACTTGTTAGGTGACAGCTGTCTGATATAGAATTTTTACTATGAAGAACTCTCTTCCCACTTTCTTTTGTGTCTTGATACAGGAATTAAAGGAACATCACAATGGGACAAGGACAAAACAATTGACAGGAGTTTTAGCCATATACTACATTTTCCAAAATTTTTAAGAAAGTTTTGGTTTTAGATATACTTTAATTGGATACAAACTCTAGATTAAAAAAGGCTGCCACCAATCAGTTTTTCACTTTCATGTTTCCAAGTTAGAAATGGAAACTAAAAATTTGACTGGGTTACCAAGGCTAAAACAAGCACATTCCTATTCAGACACTTTGAAAAGCGAAGTTACCAGTTGTACACATATAGGAAACATGAGGGAGGATACTATGACTATGGACACTGCTTGTAAAACAGTAGAATTCTAAGAAGTTGGGATCTTTTAATAAAAATAAAGTTTAAGCAGATCCACTTAAGGGACTTTTTCACATTTTTTTAAAAATACTTGTTTACCTGTAAAAAAGACTGTATATACTTGTTACCTCTACATGCCTGTGCTGCCGAATGTTGTTCTGATCAAGAGGAACCTTCATATAAGGTTGTTTTCATAACTGACACTTCTGGGAATCAGGGAATGTCAATTTCCTGTGACAGTGCTCAGTGGTCCTTCCTGTCAACCCCTTAAATCACTACGGGGCACAGTCGTGATGCAGAGGTTGATACAAGGAACCATTGACCACTGCAGGGGACACAGGAGATCAACATTAAGTACAGCCTTCTTTACAGGCTCATCTTTATTTTAAATATTCAAATTAGACATTGTACATTAGGTGCCATGCTGACATCTTTCTGTAAATTCTAGTTGTCTTGATGTCTCTGGATTGATTACTTTCTGAGTCACTGACCTGGAGAAATTGAAGCCATTTTCTGATTTCTGAATTCCTGATCTGCTTACCTGGTCAGCAGCTCAGAAAGTACTAACGCCGTTGGTTCAGTATACCACCCAGGTATCCTGTATATTTTTTCCAGCATATTTCTTTTAAAAGGGATTTTGTATTTCACATTCCTGACCAAACTGAGTCCTCTTTGTTCATTCCTACAGCGCCGCTTTGCCGCCTTACAATCCAAACACCACCTCTGCACCAACCACACTGCCCACCCAGGGAGTCAACATGGCCGACAGCATTGCTAGCCTTCGCCTTAAAGCCAAGGAGTTCAGTCTGCACCACAGCCAGGTTTCAACTGTTAACTAAGACCTGGCAGGATAGATGGGAGACTATTTCCAAGCCACGAGGCGAGGGGTGTGCTGGACACGCCACAGTTGAGCCTATGGCCACCAGCAACAATTTGTTAAGACTGTGGCTCCATTTTGAAGCTCCTGATACTGCAAGAAGACGCTGTGATGTATCCGACAATCAGATCGGGGTCCAGTCTCCAGGTCATGCAGCAGCAATATGGCCTCCCCACCATCAATAAGCCATGTTGCATGAAAAGATATGTGTGAGTTGGGCAACAGCCAAGGTCCAAACATCTTGGACAGGACTCTCGATCCATACAAAAAACATTTGTTTTGTGACTGTAGATATTTCATAGCTAGAATTTTACACCAGTAATCAATAATTTGCTCCATGTTGTCCTATCAGTCCTCGTATGCCCTCACCATTTCTGTTTATTGTCTAGGCCTCTCCTGTGTCCTCCTTTTTTGGTACGCGCTGTATATATGTAGATACATAACGTGCCTTGTATATATGTCATTTTATTCCATTCTCCCTGATCTTGAGTCAGCGTTAGACTGGGCCCATGGTTGGATCTGTACTTTTCCTTGTCCTTTGGTACTTTGACCGTGATGATGTCACAAAAATTACCACAATTCCATGATACCCCTATTATATTACCTATGTCCTGTTTATTGTAGTGTGTTGAAAAAGATGTTTTAGTAAAAAGCAATGTGTGTCTAATCTTTCACTTTTCACATGTCAAATTTAGGATGGATAGTCAGAATCTGGTTACTGTATGCAAGGCAAAACTGTCTGAGATATTTTCCTCATATGAAATGATAAATGGGACCCTGACCAATGTTGCTTTCTTCTTACACATAGGATTGTACAAACCCACAATACACCCACCCCCAAAACCATTAAATAGAAACCATAATAGATATATATTAAATAATAAGATACATGACAGTACGGATGTGGCAAAACATGGCTGTGGCCCTATTTGGATAGTTTTAAAAAAATGGTTTTTGACCTTTGAAAAAAACAACCAAAAAAAAACAAACTAGTACTAGTCCACCAGATTACTGACTCAGACACGGTCTACCCACAAAAATGAGTGACAGCATCCCCAGGTAGGACAGCCACAATACAGGGAGGGTGAGAGGGATTGTGACAGCTTGATTGAAGATCACAACTATGGACAGGACTTTGGTGATAGGTACAGACAGGACTATGGTCATCCTCCAGTTCTTTTTGACAGCTCTCAACTTCTGCTTCTCAGCATTATATTAGATGATAACTCACCAAAATGAACTCCGTGCCCCAAAGAAAAGTTGAAAACTAACCTGTTTCACCTTATCATGAGCAAAAGGATCTCCAAATAAACATAGGGACTTCTTGTTTCCTATGTCATGTCTTTGTAGTATGACATTGGGAAATTAAACGAACATCATATGAGTCACCATGGACTGGACTAGCAAAACAGTAAAAAAAGGACCGACATTTAATAGTCAGGCAGAAAAGTGTCCTATTCACAGCAACCAGTCAAATCTCATCTTTCATTTTATAACCTACACTAGGAAATGACAGTTGCAATTTGATGGGTTGCTCTACAAAAAGCCTGTGCTTTTCCCTATCTTTGTTGTTTAGTAAGCACGCATTTCATGTATTCGTCATTCATCACACAAGACCCGCTTAACACATGTAAACACACAAAAATGTCACTTTTTTTTCAAAATGTGCCTGTACTGCATGGATGTGAACTAGCCTGAAAGGAATGGTCAAGATTTCTACAGTATTTGAGATGCATTTTCATGACATCTGTCACATCTAATGAAAAGGGGAGATGATCAATACTAGGTGATGTTTATGCATGATCAATTAGACCTCCATACCTGACACAGTGAAAAAATACATAATGCGAAACAATGATAAAAATAGCAAGCATAAATACAAATATAAGTACAAAACTTATTCAAAACATATAGTAGACAAGTTCTAGAGTCTGTTATGTCATTTTAAGATTGTCGCTTTTTAAACCAACATACTATATAAAAATCTACTACTTTTTGTCTATCTTGTTCACAGAGCATACATTTTAAACAAAAAATAGAAATACTTTATTCCCCTAGAATCTGCTTTGTTCTCCTCATACATACATATGTATAGGCCAGTGGTACAATTTATAAGAAGATTGCACAAGGCTTTGAGAGACTTGGCATTACCTAGGCATAATTTTCCATGGATAAGTTTCACCAGTTTACTCACAGCTGCATATGTGGACTTCTTTTAGGCAATCGACTGTTTCACGGTGGACCTTCCATGCCAAATGGAAGGTCCACTTTTTCGCCATCCCCTGCCACCTCAACACAAATGGTTTTAAAAAGCTATTTGTGATCAAATTGTTCACCAGAAAAACAAAAATATACTTGCCTTGACCCAGCCTTCAATACTTCTGGGAGGCATGGGCAATTTCATCATACTTTCTGGAAGGGCTGGGAATCCTACGACAATGAACTAACTCCAGTCCATTACAAAAGTGCCTGTGAGATTTCAAGCTCCTAGCTTTGTCAGAAATAACAGTGACGTCACCCATGCCTCCTAGAAGCATCAGAGACAGGCCACAAAATCTGGTTGCATGGATTATACATTGCTAAACAAAGATGAATTATTTGGACCTTCAGACCTAAAGTGCATATGAAGGTAAAACTTTATTTTTCAAATTTTACTTTGTGTCCATTTTGAGAGACTTCCCTTAACCTCCTGGCCAATTGGTGTAACATGAAGTTAGTGAACATTTATCCAAAGTGAGGGAAATACATTTTTAGACAGTTTTCCCCAGAACAGATTTCTTCAGATAATTCAAACATTTGGATTTCCCCTCACATTCAACCATTCTGACGACAATGGCCTCTGGGATGAACTCTACTTTATCTTCCCAAAAAGTTTTGATTTTACATACACTTGAGGCACAGTTGCATTGTCGCCTGAAAAGTATTAATAGATTAGTGCTTTTTGAGCAAATTTGTTCTTTAAATGTAACAGCTATGGCATTCTTATTACATGGCTGTTGGTAAAATAGGTTGAACTGACTAATTAAATTCTGTGTGTGGCTATAAACCAACATACTCAACATTTTAATTGGAATTCTGACTGCTTCAAAGTAAACCTGTAACTGAGATCAAAACTGAGCCATTATGCACATTATGCATGTAAAGTCAGTCCCTACAGCTATATCTATTTCTCTTCCCCCTGCTAACTGAACTAGCAAAAGGCTCACCAAAAGCTGCAAAAATATCTTTTTGGAGTTTTTATCTTACTGAGAGAACTCTACTCCAGGGTCTGAGCTGCTGCTGAAAAATGTGTTCTAGCCGAGGAATTGCTTGACTTCCTCTACCAGAGCAGCCAATCAGTGCCTGCACACAGATTCCAGCCTCCAGCCATGGATCAGGCCCAAGCAGAACAAAATTGAATTTCCAGAAAACTGAACCTGAGTGATATGCAAGGTTTGTGAGCATTCTATTGGAAACTTCTTCAACGCACAGGCAGAACACCCCAAAAAATATCCTATGCAAATATTGACTTTCTGAACGTCAATGGCAACCAAACCAAATTTGAATCTGTCAATAGATTGCTGAGGTATCATTGGATGGGAAAGAAGGCATGACTTCCTTCTTCATATCCATCCAGGTTGTATCGCAAGGCTCTCGTTATGGTTTCCAGTAAACTGACGTTACTCTCATGCTTCTTATGGCACACACTTTTTATTCTCTAAGTCAATATTTACATAGCTGCCCTCCCACCACCAAATTTGGTCTAGCCCATAAGTTGCGGATGCATTCTTGGATGTGAATGAAGGCATGACTTCCCTCCCTATACCCATTCAGGTTGTATCGCAAGGCTCATACTGTGGGCTGAAGGGGTTTCCAGTATAATGAAGGTCCTCTCATGCATCTTATGGTTCATATTATTTTTCTGAAAGTCAATATATGCATAGCTGCTCGCCCCTCCCAACCTAATTTGGTCTTGCCCATAGAGAACTGAAAGTCCTCTCATGCACTTTTGTGCTACACACTATGTGGCTATACCTTACCCTCTGTTGGCTAACCAAAGCTAACACTAAGTTCCCCAGAATATGCATAGATTCTTTTATATTAGGAACTTCCAGCTTCTTTTGCATACTGGTGGATCAATACTTTTTGGTTTCTTTTGAGGGATTTATGTGCAGACAGAAGCACTGACTGGCTGTTCCAACAGAAGCAACCAATCAGTGCGTTTGCCTATACAAAGAACCTGGTTGTCACTCAGACCCAGAAGCAGTGATCAAGCAGTAAACATTGCATGAAGGCATCAACAGGTGATCATTGTGCTAGCGATTGATGAAAACTGTCTCGGACTTTAGGTGCATTTTAGGACCCTTTCCAATCAATTCATTTTTAGGTGAAACCACGTCTATTTTGGAAACGCAAACTTGCTCAACTGGCTAAATACTGGCAAAATCAACACACCTGTGAGGATGCCTATATGACATTAATTCTGTATACTTTTAAGGGCTATCCACTTTAAAAAAGTGAGTCACCGTTTGTTGCTTAGAAGTCTCCAGCAGTGGATTCCCCCATCCCAATCCTCTCCATTTCTGTTGGTTATTGACACAGCTCCTTCCCAAGAAAGGTAAAAATGAGATACCCATTAGTAACCACCCAAGTTACATCTGGCCTTGTTTTATTAAAGAGACCCCGTCAACAACTTACAAAAACTAAAAGGTAAAAACACAAAGGTTTTTATGGACTTGCAATGTACCATGATTACTTTGATAAGTAATCATGCGAAACATGATTACTTTGATAGAGTCAGATCACCTTGTACTTGAGAGCCTCTCCTGTTTTGGTTTAATTACTGTCTGGGAGTCCCTCCCTTCACCTCCCTACATAACCTTTTATGTAGCTGCCAAGGAGTGCAGAAATTATGTTAACTGTAGATGTAATTTTATGGGAAGATTGTTGTTAAAATGAATGGTCTGGTGATAGGGTCTCTTT